AAGGAAATCCAGCCAAAAATGGCCAAGGAAAGCCCAAGACTTTCTTCTTCATCCTCACTGATTTTCTAAACTTTCCTTGGACTTTCCTATGGCACTATACCTGCCCGAACAGCAAGAAAAAAAAAATCATATGTATTGCAGAGAAAGTGTCTTGTGGTCAACTCTAAAACACGAGATACTACATTGTCCCCTTACCTTACCTACCTATTGTTCAAACCTGTATGATACTTTAAAACTTGTGGCCTGACCACTAGGGGAGCCGTTCCATTAGGAATCACAAGACTAGAAAATTCAGCCTAGAAGCTTCACATCTCTCTATTAATAATATATTAAGGAATATGGAGCTGCATTGGATTGAGTTCAGATAAGTGTGCTACAGGATGCATGCAGAAAAGTGTCAGCAAAACTGCTCGTTAGGTGCTAATGAGTATATTCTCAGTTTCGGTTTTGTCTACAGTCACCATGACTAGAAGTGAAAGCCTCTGAATGTCAGTACAAGGGGGGCCAGGCGATTTCTCGTCACCAGACAAAAAACAGAAGTATCGCTGTCCCCTAGTCTCAGTGTAGGTCAGACAGTACAGGAAACCATCATGATGGAGCAGACAGCAAAACCAAGGCTCCTCCCATCTGTGCTCATACAGTCACAAGGCCAAGTGATATGAAGCAATAATTACCTGTCCAAAACCAGCCAATGACAACCTTTTGCTTTGATATCAAGTTAACTAGTTTATGTGTCACTGACATATTCTGAAGCACTGGACAGAGAACAATAAGCCATTTAAATTCTGAGCGGTGCTCATGTATCAATATGTGAGTGCTGCTAAGTCCAGCTGTACTTCTGAGCTCCTGAAGGGGTGTGTCCTCGACAGCCTGGGCTTACAGGAAGTGGGCTGTATGCAACTGGCTGTCATTTAACCTAAAAGTGGACTGGCAGACAGATCTAGAATTAGCAAATATATGGGGGACAGTGCAGGAGAGGAGGTGAGAAATGCAGCAAAAACAATAAAAAAAAACAACACAAAATGTATCCAATGCTGGGCAATACTTTAAAAAAAAGTTCAGGTTTAAACAGCTCTGCTATAATCCGCAGTACTGTACAGGGAACACTGAACCATTGACATCAGTCTTTGCACTGGTTTGCATATCCCTACCACAGTCACACACTACATTTATATAGTTGACATTCTACAGTTCTGTACAGACAGCACCGAACCATTCATATCAGTCTCTGTTAGCCCAACATCTGATTAAGGATCATGGCCAAAAGACTGACCAAAAGGACCAGCATACACAGAAACAAAAATTCTTGAACACATTCTGGGCCTTCTAATAAATTGCCTGAATACAGAACTGTCTCCAATACTGCTGCCAGACAAATCCACCTTGCCAACCACTTAGTGTCCTCCACCCCTCTCTGCCAATCTCTCACTGGCCTCTGCTCATCCAATGAATAAAATTCAAAATACTAACAACTTACAAAGCCATCCACAACGCTACCCCCAGCTACATCACTAAGTCCTAAAATACCAACCAAATCGTTCTCTTCATTTCTCCCAAGACCTCCTGCTCTCTATCTCCCTTTTCACCTTCAGGGCTTCTCCTGAGCCTCTCCCATCCTCTGGAACTCCCTACACCAATCTGTCTATCTCCTACTTGGTACAATTTTAGGTGATCCGTGAAAACCCTTTTCTTTAACGAAGCCTATCCTGCCTCCAGCTAACAACTGTACTTTTATTTTCTCCATCAGCTCATGCCTCAAAGTTATTACCTTTTGTATCACTTGACCCTCTCTTTTAGATTGTAAGCTCTATGAAGCAGGGCCCTCCGATTCCTCCTGTATTGAACTGTATTGTAACTGAACAGTCTGCCCTCATGTTGTAAAGCAATGCACAAACTGTCGCTATATAAATTCTGTATTACAACAATGGCCCAAACTAAGTGCATTCTTTTTATCATGTGTCTAGTACAAGTTATAGAATGAATTGGGGACACGACCACTTGCTATAACCCAAAGAGACAATTTTGTGCACCAGCCCCACTGTGCGATCTTACATTAGATGAAAAACTCAGCACTGCATTCACAATGAAGAATCCTCCAAAGTTTCCAAGCTGACTTTATTTTATGTGCTGGTTTCTTGACCTCATACTCTAGCCAATGGCCCTTTGTCACAATCACTAGTATTTGTTAATGAGTGATCAACAAGTACAGCTACCTTACGTCGGCCAATCCAGTATTAGCTGTGTTTAATATTACATAGCACCAACATAAGCCACAGTGCCGTACACACACAGCCAGAGCCTCAACAATCAGAAATATCACCCTCTAGTCCGTTATCAAAGTTAATGCAAAGATTAACAAATACTACAGTGTGTTATAGAGACAAGTTACACAACATTACAATGGAGGCCCACAAATGCCATCGGTTAACCGAGAAAAACAGGGGGGGGGGGGGGGTGCGGCAGGGCAAGTGGTTGTAAACCTTGGCACCACACCAACTCCAACTACTACTGTGGACAAAAGTAACAGACTCAAGAGTGGCTTTTTAGTGTTTACACAACTAATAAAGACGTGCAGAACAAGTCAATATTTCAAAGTTTGAAGACAAGAGACAGACAACGTGAGGGATACATGCACCTGCTCACAAAAGGGGGTACAACCAGCCTACTGACAATTACAAGTCCATTCATGCTCTGCTAAAGCCTGGCAGGCATGCATGAGCTTGTAGTTCTCCAGCAGATTGCTTATATAAGACATACAGTAAGCATTTTGAAAAGTCGTTTGTGTGCTTCAGCTAGTCAATGATAGCTACAGGCCACAATGGTGCTTTTTGTTCCTAGAAGCTGCTTAGAGTAGATCAGGGCCATGCACATCCTACAGGCCAGGCTGCAGAGATATGAGACACCTGACTTATGTTTTCTTCACTTTATCGTAGCCAAAAAAAACTTTCCAAAGGGCCAGTTTACTGTCCTTCAGAATTTGGGGGGGGGGGGGGGCTGGACTGTGGCCAGAGGGAGTAGGAAATGCCCTGTGAGTAAACAATGCCCCATCACTGGTATTATTGGGTGGACTGGAGCTCCTTTGTTGGTATCAGGGTAATAGTACCCCATCATTGGCATCAGTGGGAGGAATAGTGCCTATTATTGGTATCAGGGTAATAGTACCCCATCATTGGCATTAATGGGAGGAATAGTGCCCCATTGTTGGTATCAGGGTAATAGTACCCCATCATTGGCATCAGTAGGAAGAATAGTGCCCCATTGTTGATATCAGGGTAATAGTAACCCATCATTGCATCAGTAGGAGGAATAGTGCCCCATTGTTGGTATCAGGGTAATAGTACCCCATCATTAGCATTAATGGGAGGAATAGTGCCCCACTGTTGGTGAGGAATAGCGCCTCAAGGGCTGGATAAAGGCAAGCAAAGGGCATTATTTGGCCCCCATGTCACAGTTTGGAGACCACTGGCTAAAACAATTTCACCCTAGACTACACTGACTTCAGGCTCCTGTAATTTATATAACTGTGTCCACTCCTAACAGGCCAGTTCACCCAAATCTAGTATTTCAGTTATGGAGGGGGATATGGGGAGATTGGATCATCACCAATCTTGATTTTTTTAGCAGCTGCACCACCTACAGAATCCTCCTCCATAACAAATAAGGTACATGAAGATGTCAGGTACACGGGAGGTGGAAAGTCAGGTGAAGGGATCTTACTGCAAGAGTTCTGAAGAGACAGAAGATTGCTCAACCAGTGCACACACTTAGGTTTTGGTTAACCAATTTTCAATCACTGGGAAAAACCAACAGAGTGTGTCTATAAGCCTCATCTCTGTACAAATGATCCACCTGAATGCTGGGTCTTGTGGCCACTTCTGTGCCTATTCATGCAGGGCTCCTGGACAGCTCAGAGTGACACCATGCACAGTCTAAGCAGAAAGTGTGCCACCAGCACACCAAGGATCTCCAGAACACATCCAAAGCTTTATTCAGCAATCACACCATAGTTACAGAAGCAACGTATGGAGCCTCGCAGGAGTCCTTCATCAGACATGTGAGAAAGTGCATTGCAGAACAGAAAAGATTTGACCATGCACAGCCTGACACCCCCAATCTCAGTTTCACAGACTATGTCAGCGACATACGGGAAACACAATGAAAGCAGCACACAGTGCACCCACAAGTCCCCTTCCCAGAGCTGTACTTTCCACTCCATCTCAGTCAGTCCTGAAAGTCACAACACCCCCAACATGAGACGTAGGGCAGCTAAGCAGAGACAGACCTGAAAAGTTTACCAACCACATCGAAAAGTCTCCTAACAATCTAAAGGGAAGAATTCTGCCAACAGTAGAGGACACAGGGAGCTTGCTGGATGCTACACGGGTCCTCAGACCAGCAGCATTGCAGTGAGTAGTAGATATGGAGAAGGAGTTCCCAGCAAAGGTAAAATGTGCATTGAGGTGGAACAGTCTACAGGAGACCAAATCTGGCCACACACTATACAATCTGATTGAATGATCTATTTTTAGATTTGAAAAAAGCTTTGTAGGAGGGCACCTAATAACCCATTGATTGTATCCAATCAGACAGATCCTTGTATTACATAGTTGATGGATCCAATCAGATTATGTAGGGGATGATCAGCTCCGGATGGACCACCTGGACCTATATAGGCTACTTAGATGTCTACCCACAGGTAACCAGTCAGACTAGGAGTAATCAGGGGAGGAGACACCGATATCCACATGAATACACACACATGGACCTGGACTGCACCCCTCACCATCTCCTGCACAGTGCTGGCTGACATCTTCACACATTATAACTAATATTTAGAAACATCTCTACAGTGTTTACAAATCATACACCAAGTTGTAGAAAGTTGCTGATCCTCCTCTGCTCAGTTCATGTCCCACAGACATCAGCACACCGGTCACCCATCCCTTGCTCCCACACAGCATCAGATTGCTAGCTCTTGGGTCCAGGCTCCTTAGCCATACCTTGTGTGTGGACAGTCAGTGACAGCAGCAACAGCAGTGATCCTACAATGTGACCCATTCCTCCTCCTGGCAGCATTAAGGTGACATAGGTCCAGAGGGTGTCCAGCAGGGCCCCCGATCCCCCACCATCCACAGAGAATCCAGCCCAGGCTTCCACTCTTCTCACTACTTCCAATGTATCCAGCCACAGTCCAAATCCCTCCGCCTCGCTCGCTCTCTCTGTCTCTCGTCCAGCGCTCAGCGGGTGAATGGCGAGGCAGGCAGCTGTGCGGGGCAGGCTGTGTGCGCGCTGCGTCCTGTCTGCTTCCGCCAGCAGGAGGAGGGGGGGAGGGACTACTTCCCCCGAAAGTTCACAAAAACTTTTGGTGTGCTGTGTGCCGGCGGAGGGATCCGGAGGGCTCATTAGCATGTGAATGGGAGTGTGGAGGGCAGTCGCCAGGCAGCTGCTTGTGGGCATCTTGGTGGCTTTTGTCTTGGAGGAGAGGGGGGGGAGGGGTGCACAGCTTCTGGGGGCACAGGGTGGGCTGAGGACAGCTGACCTTCTCCCCTCATGGCCTCAGCCAGCTCTGGGGACACAGATAAAGGTCTCCGAGATCTGTATTTCTATTGATTACATGTATTTGTATAGCTCCATCACGTTGCTCAGCGCTCTCCATATATATAATACATAAACCTTGTCCTTGCCCTGAAGGAGTGTGTTTTTATATCACTTTTACCATGTATACACACCCAATTGTACAGCGTCACCCTCCACACATTCCATTCAAATCAATGCATGCACAACGCACAGAAACGCATCATGTGGAAGGACGCAGACCTGCGTTTCCCTTCATGTCAGTACATCAGGGTCTCCGTTCACAGTATAGCAGGTCCAGGAACGAATAAAAAGTCTCACTTTCCCCAACCTGGAGGCAAAACACACTGCTGTTCCACAAACTCACGGCCGTGCTATAGGCTGCATTCACATTTGAGCGACAAAGGAGCGTTTTGTTTTCTTTTGCGTGTTTCTGGCACAACGTAGGACAGCCCATTCACTTCAACGAGGTGTCCTACGCTCCAAAAACATACAAAAGCAGCTCCTGTACCCTTTTTTTGGAGCCGACTGTGGCACATATTTCAATAGTCCATTTTTGCTTTTTTTTTTCACTTTTTGTTGCGTGACTAAACACCCGTTTCTTTCGTTCATTTGAGGTGTCATTAACAATAAATGGCAGCCAAATGCGCAGAGTGCGTTGCAAGGCAGAATCCCAAGATTCTGATATGCTCAGATATTATGAATGGAGGCTAATTCTTAATGGGCCCCCCCATGCATCAGAAAACATGGCGTGTTTTCAGGTGCATGAAACCATATACAGTAGTGCCACAACGGTTCCCATGACAAAACACCTGTTTATTGCATTTGGGGTACCATTAACAATAAATGGCACCCAAATGCGCAGTGCACATTCCAGACGATCATGATGCGGTGGGGAAATCGCAGAGAAACCGGTGCAAATTCCGCATCAGTGTGAACCCAGGCTTGTTTAGGTTCACACCTATGCATTTTCCGCAGTGTTTTTCAAATATGCACAGCAGTCCATTTAACATGATTTCCTATGAGGCAGGTTCACATCTCCACGTTTTCACCCAGTGCATGCACTCTACCCAGAAATGCAAAGTTACGTATATATATGTGATTTTGCGCACCGCTGTCACCCCGTAACCAAAACTCATTGTGGGTTCCGCCACCTTTAAATAAAATGTATAAAACTCTATAACTTAGTGAGTTTACTGGCAGAATCTTGTGTTCCTGATATTCTCAATGTAAACGGGCCTAATCCTTAATGGTACCCCCATCAGGGGTGTATTTACCACAAGGCAAACAAGGCATTTGCCTAGGGCGGCATTTTTTAGTGGGGCAGCACTGCCCCCCAGAAGAAGGGAAATATGTGGCATGGGGATCAGGTGGGATCCGAGAAAGGCTGTATGATGTATGCAGAGCTGAACTGGTGTTCCTGGGGATGGCCAGATCTGTGAAGGTGAGGGGGGGGGGGGTTAATGGAAAGCTCTCTTTGGTGGGGGGGGATGGGGCAGGGGTGTTGTTGGTCACTGTCAGGCTCTCTCTGCAGGGGGGGAGTTGGTCCATGTCTCAGGCTCTCTCCATTGAGGAGGGGGGGGGTCCAATTTTTTGTGTTGCCTAGGGCACCACAAAGCCCAAATACACCACTGACCCCCATGCTTTGGAAAATGCAGCACATTTCCGGGTGCATGAAACCACGTGGTGCCCCAGCACCATACAGTTCCAAGTGGCCAAATTTCCAAATTTTAAAAACTGGTCAGGGACATTTTCCTTGCATTTCCCACAGGTACAGTAAATGAACTGGCTGCTGTGTCTGCACCACCCACAATAGTGTGAGCCTGTCCTTCCTGCTGCCTGAGGGATGAGATTTCCTGTCATTTCACATGCATAGCTCATCAAGGAGCAAAAAAAAAGCAAGATAAAGGTGACTTAAAGCAGAGCTCCAGTCAAACAAAAAAAGAAATAAAAGAAAGCAGCTACAAAAACAGCCAATCACCTGTCCCACGATCCAGCAGTGTACGCACCGTAGCCGTTTTCACCACCCATCCTCACTCCCCGGCGCTGGCATCTTAAGTGTGAGCACCTGGTTGTGGTTGTGGCATCACAGCTGGGTGACCACTGCGCATGCGCAAGTCGAGCTGTGCCTTGTGAATGGTCGAATTGTCTTCTGAAACTTGTCACATGTCCCTGAAGATGGGGGGGGGGGGGGGGATAACTTCCACTTCAGATTGCCTAGGTGATCATAGCATAAGTGGAAGAGGGTACCTGTCAAAACCGGGTACCTGCTTCCCAAAGATGCCAATTCCTCATGGCAGCGGGGGACCAGTCCTTACAGCAGAACTCCCCTTTTTGGTGGAGCTCCACTTTAAAGTATAACTAAAGGCAAAGCGTTTTGTTTTGGATAAAATGGAGAGGGATTAGACCCCCTGTCAGTTTTTATTGCTGTCTGCACCCCTATTAGGGAGATTCAATCTCTCTATTTGTCCTGTTTACCATTATCATCAAAGTGAAAGTAAAAGAAACTCAAATTTGGGGTTTTTCCCAGAACACAAATATAAGGGAAATCTTCCAATGGGGACTCCAGGTCTGGTGACTCTGGTGACACCTTGGGATTCTCTCACTTTGGAGGGTTTTCCTTTCACTTCCTGTTTCGACTGTGGGATGGGAAGGTTAGAGAACGTTCCCCAATGATATTCAGATATTAAAAAACTGACAGGGGTTATAACCCCCCCCCCTTACTCTATCTAAAATAAAAAAAACAAGTTTTGCTTTTGGTTCTGCTTTAAAGTACAACTAAAGGCGTTTTTTTTTTTTAGTTTTGGATAGAAGGGAGAGGGATTAGAACACCTGTCAGGTTTTTATTGCAGGGTAAGGGGGAGATTTTCTTCTCTAATTGTCCTGGTGAACATTATCACTGATTGTGAAAGATAATTCCAAATTTTGAGTGGTCATTAGTAGGGATGAGCTCAGGCGAGCCATATGAGCTATCCAGCCACCTGACAGCCAAGCATAGGCATTCCCCACCCTGCAGCCACACGTACGCAAGGGGTGTGTATACAGTAAGTGTGGCTGCAGGGCAGGGAATGCCTCTGCCACCTATGATTGGCTGTCAGCTTCGACAGCTTCCCAATGGGATACCTCAGGTGGGTTTGGACCTGAGTCTATCACTGGTCACTATTACAGGAATAGAAGTGAAACTTCCAAAAACTTCCAGCTGTTCTGCTGACTACCAGGAATTTCCCTTACTTCCTGTTTTGGCTATGGGACAGAAAATGAAGGGAAATCTCTCCAATGGAACACAGATGGGGCTTATAACCCTCCATAATGCCATCCAGAATGGAAAAAAAAAACCTAAAAGAAAACCACAAAATGTAGAAATGCCATGTAACGATGTGCTGGCTTTGATCCTGGCATGCTCATGTACTCATGTTCATATGCAGCTGTTGGATTGGAGGTCTCAGTGATACAAACCCTTATGTCTTTCTGTGCTCCAACAGCACAGCGTACATGCGTTTGGCAGCTGCTCTTTTGCTTGGCACATGCGCTGTTTATAACATAATGAGCGCTCAAGGTGCTTGTCGCATTTCAATGTATTGTGTTTTTAGGTGCAATGTTGAAATGTTAGTGCACCTGATTGGATTGGAAGGCACCAAATCTTCAATGTTTAGAACCACACCATACACAATAAGTATCAGAGTATGCTTTGCTAGGTTAAAATGCCTCTAAATCCACTTTTGTTCATTTTGAACAGAGTAGGGAAAGGTGGAGGGGTTAGAACCTCTGCCAGGTTTGTAGCACTGTCTTTGCCTCTGTTGGGGACATTCATCTTCTTTATTTGTTTTGATGACCATGATCACCAGGACTAAAAGGAATGAACATCCAACATTTTGAGTGGTCAACAGAGCAAGAACAAGGAGCAGGGCCCTCCTATCCCTCTTGTATTGAACTGTATTGTTGCTGTATTGTCTCCCGGTATATTGTAAAGCGCTGAGCAAACTGTTGCCGCTATATAAATCCTGTATAATAATAATAAGAAGAAGAAGAAGAACAGAAGAGAGATTTTCCAATGGGGATACCAGTTCTGGTGACAATTGTCCTTCCACCTTCAACAGGAAATGAATGCAAATGGGGAAATAAATTACATGTGTTTGAAGAGGATGTCACCTGATTTAATATCCAGGTTCCAGCGTCTACAACCAAAGCATGGTGGGGTGTGCAAAGAAGCACAAAGCAGGTCATCAAAATTACAATACAGAAACAGGAATTGAAACTGCAGACTTATAGGCACCCTTCAAACAGAAGTCCAATGCAAAAAAACAAAGTCCACCTGTATGATCCATTCAATGCGTTGTGTTTTTGAAGGGACCCAATTTAGATGCCTCAAATGGCAGAACTTTTGATGGACTTCAGAAGAACGCATTGCTCTAACCAGGATCTATCACTGCTTTGTAGATGACCAATAACTATGGAACAAGTTGAGTGACTTCCAAACTAATAGCAAGCAACACCACAGATTTCAAATGTATCTTTCCTTCTAGAGGGCGATCTTGAGCGTTAGAGGAACCAAACATGTTATATGTCCCAACATGCTGGAAAATGACTTATCCAGTAGGGTTCATTTTTTTAATTAAACTTAATTAAACTCAGGAGGAGTAGAAGGTGCATACTGCACATGTGCAATTGTCCCCATGGGCCAAGAATTGGTTCAGTACATCTATGGGTCCATTTAATATTACTTGCAACACATAGTGCTGTGCTGTCTGTAGAGCAATGTGGAAAGTGATCATTAATCTTGGAATATTTGTAGAATTTTAAAGTGTTACTAAACCCACAACAGTAAAATCAGTCTATATATGCAGTAAAGCATACTTGTATTAGGGGCGGACTGACTATTTGGAAACTCGGGCACTGCCCGAGGGCCCGGGGTCAGTAGGGGGCCCCATGAGATGCCCCTGGTACCTTTTTCATAGGCTTTTTTGAGTTTGGGCAAGGACACAGGGGCCCCATGATCCCCTATTGCCCGGGGGCCCCATGAGTTGTCAGTCCGCCCCTGCTTGTTATACTCACGGAGGAACCTAAGGGGTTAATCCTCTGCGTTGTATAATAAGGATGTTTGATCCTGTCTTCTCTAAACCTCCCCTTCCTCTACTGTCCCCAATCCATCTGCTGATAGAACAGAGCCTGGGGTGGGCACACGGCACATGCTCAGTTTGGTGTGTATTGCTAGAGAGTTTTTTTTTTCTTGGGAGAGTGCATGTGATCAGCACAGGGCCAGATAGAATTCAGGGGTTATGCAGCCTCATAGGAGAGAATGAAAACTCCTCCTACAAGCTTTAACCAGTGCTCTGTTAGACACTGATAGAAGTCACAAGACTGCTCTAACTGCTGATGAGAAAAGATACAGTATTTAGCAGTTTATATTTACTACAATAATTGCATTTCCATGTTCTGTGTACTGTGGGAGACCAGATATATTGAATGCAGGGTAACACTTTAAGCTGTCTGTACATACTGGTACTTTTGTTCTATCTGCAGATTTTAGCACAATAAAGCTGAACTCTATTGTTTGTCATGTGCACTGTAAATGTAAATGCACATTTCTAAAGTGTGTCCCCTGTGTCTAGGCTGCAGTGTTAAGTACAACTCCGACTTTCACTTATTCCTGCACAGTGCCTGGCGCTAAGAGTTAGGGCTCAGTCAGATGTGCAGCTATCATTGTCGTCCATCTAGAAAGCGATCTGCAGTGGTTCACTTTTTAGAAGGCATTTCACAGGCAGTGAGGAGGGGATATGTTGCCTCCTCACCTCCTCTTTTAACCCTGAAAATGCTGACCCACTGCTCAGCAATCACATTCATTGCACAGGTTTGCATGGTGGTTGTGGGCAGTGGTGTATTTAGGTTTCGTGCTGCCCTAGGCGACACAAAAATCGGCTCCCCCCCACCACCACCCCCATGGAGAGACCCTGACACCGACCAACACCCCCCTCCCCCATGAAGATGAAGAGAGCCTGACATTGACCAACAACACCACAGCCCCCAAACCCACCCCCACCCGAGTGAGCCTTCCACTACCACCACCGTCCCCCCATACACTGGCAACCCCCCACCCCGGCGAGAGACACTCACCTTCACAGCTCCGGACATCCTCGGGAACAAGAGTCAGGCTCTGCATACACCATCAAGAAGCCCGCAGCCTCTCTCAGATCCCACCTGGTCCCCATCCTGCGTGGGTCTCTTCTTCCATCCCTTCTTTTGGGGGCGGCACTGCCCCCTGAAAAATGCTGCTGCCCCCTCTGAAAAGTGACGCCCTAGGCAAATGCCTTGTTTGCCTTGTGGTAAATACGCCCCTGGTTGTGGGGAGGCCCCATTCACATGAATGGGTCACATTAATATTTTCAGTGGCTGCAATGCCAAGCATTGTGGCCACATCATGTGTACAGCTCTAAATGGCTGCATCTCCTTGTTCAGGTGGGCTCAACTGCCTACTCTTACATCATCATGGCCACCCGTGTGAACAAGCCTTTACAGTTCTGGCTGAAGTACTCAGATCATAGTGGGTCACTTACAATGAACTCTTCACTCAGTAAACATCTCACTTTTTTTTCCAAGAAATGTAAAGAGCTCTGTGATTGGAGGAGAGGCAGATGAAGGTCACACTCTCCCCTCCTCCAATCATGAAGTGAAAAGAATGCAAGAGATTCACTGATTGGAGAAGCTGGAGTGTGAGCAACCCACTGTGATCAGAGTAGTCCAGCCATAAATGTAACTCTCAGCACAGGTCATTCAGTGCACTGTACAGGGTGAATGAAAGATTGTACATTATATCACAGAGTTAAAGACTATGTAAACCCAACATTTCATATTTCTGATATGTGCCTGCTGTACTTGTATGAAAAGGTATCCGGTTATCTTTGTATTGCTTCCTTTGTGTGAAATCCCTGGTGTTACTGCCAGTCCCGCTGCTCTCCTATTAAAAACTGACCACACTAGGCATGAGAACAAAGTGTGGTCTGTTCTCTAGCTATGCTAAGAACTCAGTCTGCTCTCCTCCAATGATCTGGCTTCTGCTGATAACCCCCCCCCCCCTTCCCTGCACTGTCTTTGACTGGGAAGATCAATTTGCTGCTTATTTTCTTCCACTGGCTCTTATGCAGCTGAAAACAGAGGGTATGTATTAACTTAAAAAAGGGAAAAAAGGGTGTATATAATGTTTTTTTTAAAAAACCTATACTCAAATGTTTTGCCATTCATTTCTATTTTAAACTGAATGGATTGTTTTACAAGGAGAGGGTTTACAATCACTTTAAGCTTAAGGTGATACTAAAGGTTTTTTGTTTTTTAAGTAACACACGTTATACTTGCCTGCTGTGTGCAGTGGTTTTGCACAGAGCAGCCTGGATCCTTTTCCCTCCTCTTCTCGGGTCCCCCACCAGCGCTCCTGGCCTCTCCCTCCAGTTGCTTGCCCTCACAGCAAGCAGCAGCCTGCTATGGGGGGACCCTATCCTGCTTGGCTCACCGGCTGTGACTGATGTCAGCGGGAGCCAATTGCTCCCGCTGCTGTCTCAGCCAATCAGGAGTGAGAGTCCCTGGAGAATCGAGGCTCTTGTGGACATCACTGGATCAGGATGGGGCTCAGGCAAGTGCTGGGGGGGCTGCTATACACTGAAGGTTTTTTACCGTCATGCATAGAATGCATGAAGGTAAAAAACCTGGAGCCTTTGGAACCATTTACATGTGTACGTAAAACCAAAACAATTAATTAGCCTTTTATTGCTAACTCTGTCCTAGCTGAGGAGATTCTCTCTCTGTCCGGGAGAATTTTGTCACCAAGACAGAAAGTGATAGGAAGTGCAACATGTCAGAGGAAGTGCAACATGTCAGAGCTGTCACCAAAACATTGGGTCAGAGTAAATCTTTCAATGGGGACACTTATTACAGTGACAACTGTCTAAAAGGAGAATTCCCCTCAGTTTGTATAGGTTTCCTCTGACTTCCTGTTTCGTCTACAGAACAGGAAATAAAGGGAAATTTCCCCAATGGAACACAGGCAGCAAATTTATACTTTTAACCCTTACACACTCTGTCTAAAAAGAAACATTTTGGCTGCACATATATTTTTTTTCCCAAAGCAACTGTGATATATTATCACCACATACAGTAGTAGTTTAACAGTGAAGGCTCTCATTTATTGGGTATTTTTTTTTATTTTATTTTTAGAATTCATCATCTTTTATATAAAAGGCTCAAATATTACAACAAGATCATGCAATGGAAAAAAGTGACACATCACTGCAGCTTTATTGTATTACTCAGAGCATGTAAATCTTACAAGAAAGGAAACCAAATTTCAGTTCTCAATTTCAAGGGGAAGAAAGTGACTGGCAGGTCTGTCAGCTGATGTGATCTTTGCGTGTTGCTCATACAATTATGCAGTGAATATATACAAGAGGGACCCCCAGGGAGGGCTGTTAAAATTCAGTGAAGCACAGTGACTAAAGCTAGCCATATAAGTAGGACCCCAATAATTCAATTTCAGTTCAACTTTTCATTAAAAAAAGGCCCAACAAATAATCTTCTATTTTTGATCAACCACTGGGCAATCAAATTGCAGTTGAAGAACCCCCAATTAACACTGCATTCTATCAGACTACTTGATGGATTTCTGTTTTTTGATCAGTTTCTATGTGATCATTCTTATTCTTTCAGTGTATAAAATGTATTTTGGTTCCTAAAAGTTTGCCAGTCGATCAAATTAGTTAATACCCGGGACAGCACAGCACAGCACTTCAGCCTGGCAGCACTGGGGTCATCAGTTCTAATCCCAACCATGGCATTACCTGCCTAGAGTTTGTATGTTCGCCATGTGCCTGCATGGGTTTCCCCCGGGTATGTCGGTTTCCTCCCACACACCAAAGACATACTGGTAGGTTAATTGGCTCCTGTCTAAATTGGCCCTGGTGTGTGTATGTATGAATGTGATTTAGGGAACTTATATTGTAAGCTAACTGAGGGCAGGGACTGATGTGAATGTACAGTATATGTGGAAAGTGCTGCATACATTTTTGTACCTGTAATAAATATATACATGAAAATAATGGTACCATGCCCTCTTTCAATCAACTTTGATTGTGCTGACTATCAAAAGCTGGTTTGCAATTGCCTGAAAATTGCCTATATGGGCATTATTAGTGCTGTGCTTTATTTGCTTGTAGCACTGGGGTCCTGAGCTAGAATTTCAGTTTCCATCCGCTGTACAAAAGCATGCTGGCTTGCACCTAAATCTGACACTAGTGGGAATACTTGTGTGACCACAGTTGGCATACTAAAGTGTAAGATATGAAGATATCACTTTCCAGAGATCATTTGTGAGCAAACTAAAGTCCTGCTTAAAGAAATAATTGACTGGAAAAATGAAAACTCCTGTTCAGTACATCACTGAACCACTTTTGCGACTGTTCGACACATGTTATAGCGGTGAGACCATAAAGGGAAAGGGTTGTATTCTGGTGTCAAAGCCAACTATCATCAGACAGCAGTGCATTGCGCAAGCTCTTCAGGGCAATGGGTGGACCTTCCTTTCTTGAGAAGATTAAGTTTTCCAGCAGTAGATGAGAAGATCTTGTATGTAAATGCTTTATATAGGGGGCTCTGTACTCTGTTCAATTGCATACATCCAGAAGGTAGAGTGACGTACAGCCCCCATGCTGTCACCCTATGAATAGGAGGGTTGGGAATACCATCTGCCACGCCATACACACTGTTCCATCCCCCTCTACACTGCCTTATGTCAGGTCACCACTGTGAATCCCCATCAGGAATGAATGGGAAGAGGCAGAATGTTCCTCCAGTACCAACACCTGACATGCGATCCCTTCCTGATGCCAGCCATACATGTGGAGACATTGTGACAGTTTAGAAGCTTTCCATGAGCTTTAAATAAAGAAGTCACATGGAATCGAACAGTCCAAAACAACACGGTTGGAAATGTTTACCTGTTCTAAGAGATCAAAACAGATATGGAACAAAAGTTAAAAGAAACAGTCCAATTTTGAGTTATTTGGTTTTCAAAACTGGGAATGAACTGAAGCCTTGAGAGGCAAATTGCTGTGGAGGGTTTAGTTGCAGAGTTTTTTTTTGGACAGCATTAGGAAATCACAAATTAATACATTTTCCAGAGAGCCCATTTACAACACATGCTTTGGGCTGCATTGCTCAGCGTCATCCAAAAGCAATGACAAGCTAAACACCATTGTTTCCAATAGGCCTAGTTTACACCAATGCGCTGCAGTGGTGTGCACTGGTGGAAGATGGTACATGCTGCATTTCACTTCAATGCATTACAATGAAACGTGCTACACTGTAACATGCGTTAAATTAATAACTAAAGGCAAAACTTTTTTTCAAAGTTTTGGATAGAGTGGAGAGGGATTAGAACACCTGTCAGGTTATATAGCTGTCTTTGGCCCCATTAGGGAGATTCACCCTCTCTCTTTGTCCTGTTCACCCTTATAACCAAAAGTGACAGTTAATGAAAATCCCAAGTTTTGGGTTGTCCCCAGAAAAGTAATAGAGGGGAAATCTTCCAATGGGGGCACTAGTTCTGGTGACCTGGGGGGCCCCAAGGGATTCCCTTCATTTGCAGGGATTTCTTATAATTTCCTGTTTTGGCTATGGGACCAATAAATAATCTATTTTTACTTTATCTGAAATTAAAAAAAAAAGTTTTGCCTATAGTTCTACTTTAAGGAAAGAAAAATAAAATATTTCGGCTCCAGCTGTGGACCAAACAGAGCAAAAAACACACATCAACCCAACGCGTTTAAAAAAAGCAAGTCAACACAAGTCAACTCAAATGCATTTATCATACATCAACGTGCACTAAATACAACGCAAATGGGGTGAATCCAGCCAAAGAGAACAAAAGGAGGTAAGAAGTCAGTCTTGCAATGTGTGTTTTCTCCTCTTCATACAAAGCAGGATGGTCCATTTATTGTGCAAAGATTATCCTACATGCTGGAAACGCTCGGCCCAAGGTCAGCAGTTCTAGTCTCCAGTATTTTTAGGCCATCTCCATCCTAGTCTATTTCCTTTGTGGGTGTCTTAAATATTTTACTATTTTTACATTGCAGACAGAAGGACAGGAACATGAGGGACTCGCAGCCTTTCTGAAGGAAGTTCATTCATTCTATTCTGATCATGTATCAGCTTTGATCCTGGATCTGTCAATTTCCTCCTCAGCAATAGTCATAGTTGATAGACTGTGTGGTATAACTATAATATAAAGTTTACACAAAGCAGTGCAAATCATCCAGCCTGCCTCACAAATCTTCTCATTTCCTCCAAAGATTTTATGGAGAGTTATTACAAGGGGGCT